ACACATGAATACAAACAAAGCCACTGTGCTCATTGCAGTCCAGCTGTTTGCCAAAGTGGAAAGAGGAAAAGTGAGACTTACCAACTTCTTTCACATGTTTCCCTAAAAATATGTAAAGAAATTAATAAAGGTTACTATTTAGAGGTTATTCCTTCCTTGATAGACATTGAAAGAACAACTATGTATGAATTTGTACCAGCGTACGTAGGCTTATATTAGAGTTATGACATAGGAAAGGTACTTTAGGATTGATGAACATTTTGTCTTTGAGCATTCAAAAAGGTGTGGATTTAAAATTTCTGGTTTGCAGAGAATTGTTTCTCTCAATAAGGAACACATCTCATTACTTACTGCCTTTGCACAGACATTTCTAGCCTATCCTTCAATACGGTGTCATCTGTCAGTGTAGTATACTGCACGGACAATTCTTGTTTTTTCAGTCTTGTTTGAACTGAAACCAGAGGCAGCCAGAAGTGACCCTCTCAGAACTGGGAATGGGAGAGGGACGACCATGTAAAATTGAGGCCAAACTGGTGTGTTCCCAGTCCCTGGTTCATCCTCTGAACCTTAATGCTATTTCTTTTCCTGGACAGTTTGCAGGGCAGGGATATTAGAGGCTTCCCATTAGTGCTGTTCATGATCTTATTTATATTTTACCAGAAAATATCTTTCTAGTTCATTTTCTATATTTACCTTTTCTTTTAGAGAAATAAACAGTCAGGATAATGACACCAAACAAAACCACCATGATCACACCTAGGACCACTATCCAAGCGGGTACCTTCTGGGAAGAATGATCTGAAAAACAAAAGCCCAAAGGTAGTCACCTTACTGTGTGAAGTGTGGAAAAATCAAGTGTTTGCTTCCTACATCTCCATTCCCTCAGGACTGATCTAAACTAAAAGGGAAAATTTAACTTTGTCTACTCTACAGAAAATGCCCCAAACTAATTAATAAAAGATTGTAACCAACAGTCATAAAATGTACATGCACAGTGTATAAATGGGCTTTGTTTGATTCACTACTTCTGCTGCAATGAAAAGCAACCTTGTATAGTGGCAAGGAGGGAGATTTAGAAAAATGAAAACAAGATTTTACTCCAAATCCACTGTCATCTACAACATCTCCTAGTGGATGATACTCAGCCAGGCTTATGTGAATGTGGATACAGCCTCAGAGCTGAATGGGAGAAATAGCTGATCACAAGGTGAAGTTTTCCCTCTCCGATTTTCAAACAGCCTTTACCAAAATGAATGGAGTGCATGGGAGCTGTTGCAGTGCTGTTGCATGGCAGCAGGTCCCATGTCATTATTATCTCACAAGACCCCACTGCCCATGTCTAGGTAGAGTGATTCTTCCCGAGTTAAAGAGAAGACCGTTCAGGCTTGTTGTGCTATAAAAAAACATTCACAAGTAAAGAAAGGGCATTTTCACAGTGCTCAATGAATTTTTTTCATGAGCTAATCATCTCAGTAAACTGAACTACTCAGAAGTCTTGGGCTTTAGATTTTAAATATGTGAATCCAAGAAATCAAGTTTTATTTCTCTATTATTCTTTTTCTCCCACCTCCTTATAGCAGCCAAATATAGGGCCAAAGATGTAAAATGATTGAAGAAGGTGTAATATTTTAAGAACCCCTTGCCAAATTTAGAACACATAAAATAATGTTATATCAGTGGCAGATATAAGGTAACATTTTGAAATGATCCTATGAGCCCGAATCCAGAAGTGACATACTGGAACTCCTTCTAACAATGAAATAACAGTTAAAAGTGAATTCTGTGTAAGGATGCGCTACTGGGAATCACTATGAACCACCCACAGATGAATCAATGAATTGGACTACAGACCTGTCACCTTTATTTCCATTTGGGCCTCCTCAGTAATGACATCATCCTGAATAAAACAGGTGTACTGCCCCTCATCAGAGAGTTGGACACTGGCAATTTTCAAGTCAACACTTCCATTGGTGAAACCATCTTTCAAAAGCTCCGTCCTTCCTTGATATTCAGGCATCTGCTGGTCGAACTGATCCTTCCTATATCGATACAGGTGCACATAGGAAGTGAACTTAGACCGAAACCATCTCACCTCCATGTCCTCAGCACTCCTCCTGGGGGACAGGTGACAGGGTAACACAACGTCCTCACCAACCTCAGCAGAGATGGGGTGATGAGGTCCTATCACTTTAAACAGTGCTGTGAAAAATGCCAGGATAGTGAGAATCTGAGAATTTCTTATGTATTCAACTAATCACAGACATGCATTACTCCTTTATTTTACATAGTTTTCTATTCTGTGGTACTGTTTCAGGCTTTCTCTGTAAGAGTGCCAGGTATCCTGAATTATGGAGTTTATGGGGAAAAAGGTATTTGTGTAAGTCTATGTGTCTAGTATCCTGGGGGAGTGACAAGGCAAAAAAAAAATGCCATCGATAGCATTTCTCCCCTCTAAGATGTCTAAACTTTGCCACCACTAGCCTCAAAATTACACAGATTGGCTCAAGAAAGCTGCCCTGTTCTTCACTGATTTATAGCTTTCCCATTCTGGCAATGTGCAGCAGCTGTATGTAACTCCAGAGGGTGATCCTACACGAAATAGGGAGATGCACATCCCTCTCCCATTCTCTTAGAGGACAGCCTTATACACTTCCATTGTCTCTGCATAAAGCATGACCCAACTCATTTAGATGGGAGACGTCTGTGTGACCCAATGTGTCTGAAAGACAGCAGCATTAACTTCAGTGTCAAATACGTAGATGTAGGCCTGGGGAAGAAGGGAATGGTGTCCACCCTGTGGTCAGTGACCTAATAGTTCAGGATCTTGCCAAGGAAGTGGGAGGATGACATTGCTCACTTTTCAGAAAAGTACCCTGCAGGATGACAAGGAGTACAAGAGCTATAGGGACAGAAATATGCTAGAGCCATTCTACCCTCCATAGCCCAGGGGGGAAAAAACACTCCTACAGTAGAGAAGACACCATGGGTTTGTCCTTGCTCCTGTAGGGGAACAGAATGGAGTCAGTTGCCATTATGTGTAAGCGAGCAGATCACGTACGCAGCTGAAACTATGAGGAAGTCAAAGGGCATGATCCCAAACTGCTAGGCTAAGCACAAACTGGAACAATTCTAGTTTAGTAAAAACAGGATACTAGTATAGAAAGA